CAGGGTCCAATAATCTGCAATCGTACAACCCCTTCAGGCAATTCTGATGCATGTAGCAAAAGTTTGAGACATACTGAATTAGTATACATCTTCTCTTCCTTATTTGTAAGACACACTCAGTAAATGAGTAAGACAATCCAAGAATCTAGGTGTTGTGTCTAGCCTTTTTTTTTTTCTATCATAAACTTAGCCAAGTGGTAAAGTGTGTAGTTTTTATATACAACTCTATGTCAGGTTAGGCAATTAAGAATCCTAGATCAATATCATCAACAGTAAATATATCACATAGAACCAGATTCACCACACTTTAACATCAACACAAAAAATGTAAACAATGGTATCCTCTCTGCATCCATTTGCCTTACACCTTCCCTATGTCATAAATTAAAAATCTCATGAATCATGAACTACTACAGAATTAACCTTCACTGATTTGACCTCAGCACTTGATAACTCCCACAATTCTGCAAAAATTCTAAGCTTTTCATTTTCATTTAGTGTCACACGGGAGGATACTTTTTTACTTTAAAAGCTAGCAAACATCACAAATGTACTTTATAAAGAAGGTTAAGCATCAAATAAATTATCATCCCATGGTGTTAGATGAAACTGTGATTACTCAAATTCAACTTTCTCAACATCATTTAAAAAACACATTTAAGTCAGTAACAGCCAACACAAGAAGCTAAATCAAGGACACAATTCTCTTCACAGTAGCTTCAAAGAAAATAAAATACCTAGGAATATACATCACAAAAAGGTGAAGGACCTCTACAAAGAAAATTACAAAAACCTAATAGTAGAAGATTTTAACAAATGGAAGAACATACCATGCTTATTGCTGGGAAGAATCAACATTGTGGAAATGTCTATACTTCCCAAAGCGATCTACAGATTCAACGCAATCCCCATTAAAATACCAACATCATACTTTCAAGACTTGGAAAAATTGTGTATGCAACCAGAAAATACCCCATATAGCTAAGGCAATTCTTAGTAATAAAAACAAAGCCAGGGGCATGAGCCTATCAGACTTCAGGCTGTACTACAAGGCCATAGTGATCAAAACAGCATGGTATTGGCACAAAAATAGAGACATAGATACCTGGAACCAAATAGAAAACCATGAGATGAAGTTAACATCTTACAGCCACCTAATCTTTGATAAACCAAACAAGAACATGCACTGGGGGGAAAGACTCCCTATTCAATAAATGGTGCTGGGAGAACTAGATAACCACATGCAAAAGACTGAAACTAGACCCGAACCTTTCACCACTCACTAAAATAGATTCAAGATGGATAAAAAAAAATCTAAATCTAATCCTTGAAGAAGGGGAAAAAAACACTTAAAGGTATTGGCCTGGAAAAAGACTTTATGAAGAAGACTTCAGTGGCAACTGCAACAGGGGCAAAAATAAACAAATGGGACTTAATTACACTGAATAGCTTTTGTACAGCTAAGGAGACAACAACCAAAACAAAAAGACAGTCATCAGAATGGGAAAAAATATTTGCATATTATGAATCAGACAAAAGATTGATAACTAGGATCTAAAGAGAACTCAAACTAAGCAAATTTTAAAAAGTCAACAATCCCCTATATCAATGGGCAAGTAGGATGAACAGAACCTTCTCTAAAGAAGACGGAAGAATGGCTAACATGAAAATATGCTCATCATCCCTAATTATTAGAGAAACGCAAATCAAAACCACCCTGAGATATTAACTAACCACAGTGAGAATGTCCCACATCACAAAGTCTCAAGTTGCAGATGCTGGCGTGGATGTGGAGAGAAGGCAACACTTTTACACTGCTGGTGGGACTGCAAACTAATACAACCTTTTTGGAAGGAAGTATGGAGAACCCTCAAAGAACGCGAACAAACCTCCCATTTGATCCTGCAATCCCATTACTGGGCATCTACCCAGAAGGAAAACAATCCTTTTACCATAAGGACACTTGCACTAGACTGTTTACTGCAGCTCAATTTACAATGTGGAAACAGCCTAAATGCCCACCATCCCAGGAATGGATTAACAAGCTGTTGTATATGTATACCATGGAATTTTATTCAGCCACTAAAAAAGACGGAAACTATACATCTTTTGAACTAACTTGGATGGAGGTGGAACACATTCTGCTTAGTAAAGCATCACAAGAATGGAGAAGCAGGCTCGGTGCCTGTGGCTCAAGTGGTGAAGGTGCCAGCCACATACACCTAAGGTGGCGAGTTCAAATCCAGCCCGGGCCCGCCAAACAACAATGACGGCTACAACCAAAAAACAGCTGGGCGTTGTGGTGGGCGCCTGTTCTCCCAGCTACTTGGGAGACTCGCTTGAGACCAGGAGTTGGAGGTTGCTGTGAGCTGTGATACCACAGCACTCTGCC